CACACACACACACACACACACACACACACACACACACACACACAAACAGAAATACAATGAGAGCCAGAATAGCTATACTGTGTGTCTCGAGAGTGTCAAGACATGTAAGGCTTAAATAAGGTGACATTTTAAATTTCATCTGTTATTTCCCTTCAGCCACATGCAAAACTTTACACTGTCAACTGGCACAACGTTCAGTACAGCAATGGTTTACTGCCTGTAGTGTAATGCTGGAAACTATCCCAAGATGCGCTGTTTGTTGTTGTGCATCTACATGTTTTCTTTTATCTGATATTTCTGGATTTGTATTCTTTGTAATTATAGATATTGTATTCTCCATTAGTACGTGTTTAATGGATACAACTGTAAACCCTATTTTTCGAACCCAATGATGCATTAGATTGTCTCTCAACCTTTTCAACCAAGGTTTTTGGACATTACTTGAATAGGAGTAAATATTATCTTATTATATTACTATTTCAGCTGTAGATTAATAAACATTTGGTTCAAAAGTGAGTATTTACAGCAGCAGAAAGGTCTAATCGATATTGATTGATCAAAAATAACGAGTGCAGTGCTGCAGTAATAAAGACAAATGTCACCGGTGTGGCCTATTGATTTTGGTGTTAGTCAAAGGATTTGGTGACAAGAAGAAGCCTTAAATAGCCATTGTATTATATATACACCGGAGCATTTTTATTCGCTGTTAATCCTCCAGAATAAGTGCAATGTGTGGGGTGTTGTGTGTCTTAAGCTTACGCCTTAGCTCTGACCCCTCCCCTTGTGATTGCATGTTCACATGAAATATAATTGTGTCCCACGACACACCTTTGCCCTGTAAAATGACAGTTTAGCCCCTCCCCACTACGTCCACAGATGTGTGTCACCATGACACTTGACATCAAGGGCCACCCAAAACATCTTGGGCAGATGAACAGTAGAGGGTGGTAATGCAACATTAAACTGGTTGTGATCTGCCACTCAACAACACAGGCAGAAGAATGAATAATAGATGGCCCCCGCGCTCTCATCTGCAGCTTCATTTGGTTTTCATTCTGCTGTTGACTCCTCGTAACATGCTCAAGTCATGAGTGGCATCGAATTTGGTTGTGGAGTTGAAGGGGAAGGTTTCAGTGAGATATTTCGGACAAAGCCGCACTCTACCATTCTTTCAGACTGTTTCCTTTCAGGGTGTCTACGCAAGCCTAAAACGATTCAACATCTGTTAAACCAAGAACCCTGAAGGGCATCTGTGATCATGATATCAGGAGAAATAACACAAGATAGCTCTGTGCTAAAACATCAGTCCAGTACCAATTGCGTAAAGTTCTAAACTGGAGATTTCTCGCCATGTTTTCATACCTGCTGAGGGCGTGTTTCAGATTAACTTTCTTTAATACAAAGTTATGTGCCCGTGTGTGTGCATGTGCGTGAGTGCGTGTGTGAACACAAGCAAGTGTGTGAGACAGAGCAAGACAGACAGCTCTAAGTAATAAAGCTTTGTAAAGCATATGTGAATCTGATTGTTAATCCCCAACTCCAATAGCATTAATAGCCCAGGGTGATAGCAACTGTGTGTGTGTGTGTGTGTGTGTGTGTGTGTGTGTGTGTGTGCCTCCCAGGTCGAGGTGCACTGTAGGAAATGAAGGGATCAGGAGTAGAGAGCAGATTACTGTTCCTGAGGATAATGAAATTATTTCTCACCTTCAATTACTAGATGAGGAAAGGAAGCAGTGTAGGTGTGTGTGTGTGTGTGTGTGTGTGTGTGTATCAGCTTAATATAGTTATCTGTTCCAGGCACTAAACCTTGTCAATGGTGTTACCCCGAAAACCATATGTGAAGCTTATTGGTGCTTTGTGCTCGAAACATAGCTGCTGGGTTGCTCCTGCTCCTTTTAGGAATAACTTAAAAACGAGTGTTTTAAAAAGTACCTGTACACCATGTATGGTGGATTTGCACCTTTGTTGCACGTGTTCATTTTATATGCGAGGAGATTTGCCAATTATTCATTTGTAAACCTTTTTTTTTTCTTTATAACGGCTTATTTATGCTGCTGTGTCATACGACACACTACTCAAAAATATATGACTGCATTGAGGATTTTATTTTCAACCGCAATCACTCGTGCTAACTTCAAGCCCACTGCAGTCTCTGCACAGCCAACCTGCAAATATAAGCTAACTGAAATTGGAGGGATAAGTCATTCTATGTGGTTGCCCGCTGTGGTAGCATAATTATTATTATTAATAATATTATTACTATTATTGAGTCCAATAAGACACACCAATTTCATGTTAAGGACATATTACTTGAAAAGTATTGTGCATTGAAGGTTTTACTACTTAAAAGGGAAAGTGAAAGCAGTTTTCTGCCCATGTGGAATATTCAAAAGTAGTAAGGCCTTCTGTGCAGTTTCTACTTTACTGACTTGATTTTTCAATACTCAGATTTAATTTTAAATCTTTACTTTTGTATCTGCCGAACTTGCTAAACATGTCACTGTTTTCAAACATGCATCTTTTTTCCTATGGTAGGGTATAATATGTGATGCAGAGTTGAAAACAAACAGCTGAACACAAGGGGAGAGTATTTCATGTAGTCGCATGCTGTCCATGTTTTCATTGATCCACCTCATTTCTGGTATGTTTTATAAACTCAAACAATGTAAACAGTGCTGGGGGTAGGAGGCCAGCTGAACCAATCAGATTCCTTGGTTGCAGCTACCCCTTGTCTCGCCTCGTATGGTCCTAAACCCTGTGCTTCCTCGTAACCCGGGGATGAACCTTCGAACTCCACGATTTATGGCAGCGCTAATCTGGTCTCAGTAGCTCTCCGTAATCTCATGCACAGGGATGGAATTATCCATCAACCCCTCCGCTTTCTGCTGCTTATCCAGGTTTGGGCCGCCGCGGCTGCAGGCTACGAAAAGGTAACCCGGTCATCAGCGTGCTCCTGCTCTTCCTGAGGGTTCCATGGCCTTTGAATGACCCGGGATCAGACAGCAAGGATGGAATTAGCTAAAGGGCTATTTCTAATATCTGAAGGGGGATCCTGTTGCTATTTAGGAAGCCTAAAATAACCCAGCTAATAGTACTCGAGACAAGGCTGCTACTCAGTCTTTGGTGCCAAGAATGAATTATACACAGCCGGAACACTTTCATTTAAAAGATAAAAGGATCTGCTTATGTGAGTTTGTGCTGAAATCAACACTGATTAAGTGTTTCACACTGTTTCAATGTCTACAATGTTAAAACACTATTCATGTCCAAATATTAAAATATTCTAAAGTCTGACAGTCATCACAAAGGTCAGTTTACATACGAGACCAGCCGATGGCAATTGTGTTCGCTTTACAATTTAATAACATAGTACTGATGCCAGATGCTGTGTTTACAGTGACACTGGAGGGCTCTGAGATATGAGGTGTTGGTCAGCAGTTTTCCTTCACAAAGCAAGCGATTTCGCTCCGTTTCTTATATCTTTGGATTGTTTTTCGCCTTTCTTTCATCGGCCTCCGTCATGTCTCTGAGGACAGAATGCTGCTGCATAGCGCTATCGAAAGAAAGGATAGGATGAGTACAGGAGTCAGAGGGGAAGCAGGAAGACGAGAACGGAGAAGGCGATGATCAGAGTGAAGAGGAACACAAACCTAAAGGAGTGCAGATGTTGAGTGAGGAGGAAGGTGCAGTGAGGAATAGGGAGGGGAGTTGGAGATAAAGGGAGGAAGGAAAGCAGAGC